GTGCTCCAACATACTGGAAGCGATCACCATAGAAAGTACTCGGCGACTGGGAGGAAAAAACTATGCCCAACCATCAAAAACGCTATCAGTGGATTAACTAATGAAACTCCTCTGGTTCTCTGTGAAAAAATCATCACCATGGTACTGCGAAATACAAAGAAGCAAAATTCACTGATCACTACCAAACTCACAATGAAAACAAGGTTAGTGGTGACATTTTAGGATGGACGAGGGTTGGACCTATTTTGAGGAAGGTGAAACTCTAGGATAAATACACAGAATACACAGTCGAACTCTGAATACATACCGTCTCAAGTATCCTGGCCTGATAAGAAACGACAACAAGAACGCCACCGCTGTCAGTTCGCTGCCATACCCCTAAAGGTCTCCAACCAACCAGTTGCAGAGTCAATTGGACCACAACGTGGAAGGCACTTTACCCAATGGCTCCTTGCATTTCTTCACGCCTCGTCTCCACATCATCTGTTCTTATTTTTTTCTTTTCCTTTTACTTCCTTTTATTAAATTCGCAAAGATACAAATTTTAGGAAGGGGGAAGCGGCCAATCAAACGCCTGCCATTCAACACCCAATGGGGAAAGTTAGGCGGTGGTAGCTGGATTCGACCACATTCCCGAGGTTACAATTTGGTGACCTTACCACCGGGCTACCACCTCCACGTGGTTTCCTTTATCCCAGAGCGGCTACAGCGAATAAAGCGCGGTGTGGCAGACAATAGCTGGGCATACGCAATAAGTGCCTTAGCCAGTAAAGTCTAATATGGATTCGGTGGACTAGCAGGTTGTACCCCGGTAAAATCCAAAACACACGATGGCTCATCTCCGTCCCACGTGGACTAAGCTAGGTAAATATCAATAGTCCAAAAATATCTAGTCGATGAGTATCTTCTACTTGCTAATTAAAGGTCTCACAACCATTAGGTAGAACTGAACGAACGGTAGGACAGTATACACGACCCTTCAACTTCAGTGGGACGCCGCGTCTATGCCAAAGGTATTTCAGTCCGGTGTATGCTGCTCGAGTCTGGGAAATGCGAACGGTTTCTTTTGCTGCGCTAACGTCATTAGTCAAACAATTATCTAAGTAGGAAAACCAATCGTCTATAGTTAATTCCTGGCCATTTAGTTTCAAAATGGGATAAGCGACACCCAGTCTTCCAGAATAACTTTGCACTTCGAAGGTGCAAAGCACAAACCGAATGTGACAACAGCACTTGCTAGTCTATCAAGTGGACTTTGCTCGTCATCCAAACATTAGAAAACACAGGCGCTTTCATCGGAGTACTCGAAACCGCACAGCTCTCCCGCAGTTGGTCATTCGATACTACGTTTCCAAGGCTACTTGGTGCTTTCTCCTGAATTCCGTCTAGGACGAAATTGAATAGGAATGACGAAATATGGCAACCTTGACGAACGCCGGTGGTGGTGACGAACGCCCTACTTAGAATATGGTAAAACTTCACTTCACCAGAGGTATTCTAGTACAATGAACTCAGTAAGTTAACCAACTTCTGGGACATTGATTTTCTAAAAAAGGAACCCATCAGAGCTTCGCGGTTAACACAGTCTAAGGCTCCATTTGAAGACACATCCACTTCGACGCAATGGTGTACGAAGAAGTATAATCGCTTTACCACTAACAATCCCAATGGGAAATGCGGTTACAAACCAAACGGCCTTGGATTCCTTTATTAAATTCTACATTGATCACAAAGCCCGCGAACACGTTACGTGGACAACGAAATTCTAATAACCAAAAGCTTCATGTTGGACCAGGAGTATCAAAACATTTTCCAGAAAGTACCTGCCGTTTAACCTCTTGTGAAAACCACGGAGAAAATAGTTTAATCAACATCGTCTCCAAACTTCTCGCCGGGATCATACTCCGTCGATGGTCTGCGGCACGTGAACGGTGCACGCGTGAGGACCAGGCTGGCCTTAGACCTGGTCGAGGTTGTATCAACCAAATCTGCACTCTCCGCCAAAATCTGGAGCACCGACATTCTTTTCGTAGACCCAATATCTCTGTCGTTCTCGATCTGAAAGCGACTTTCGACTCACTCGACCGCTCTAAACTCTGGCGCTACCTCTTTCTGAAAGGTCTGCCCGAGAAGCTAATTTCAGTATTACAATCCCTTTATACAAATAACCGAAGTCGGATCTCAGCTTACGGCACTTTTTCGCCCGAGTTCACCACGGAAAGTGGTGTTCAACAGGATTGCCCTCTCTCTCCGTCTCCACTTAACTTTGTTACAGACCAAATTATGGAAACAGCTCTATCCTCGTGCGCGGATGGTGGCATCGATTTATTCCCAAGTGGTAGGCTGTCTGATCTAGAATATGCAGATGAAATTGTGCTACTAGGTGAAGATTCAGGTAAGTTACAAGCCTTTCTAGATAGCTTGAGTGCTAGTGTAACCATGTTCGGTATGCGTTTTGCACCTTCAAAGTGCAAAATGTTACTTTAGGACTGGGTTGGTGCAGCACTCAGCTTCACCCTAACTGGGGAAGTAATAGAGCGAGTGGATAAGTCTTGTTACTTGGGCAGCTACACCTCACCCGGTGGACGCATCACGGATGAAGTGTCAGTTCGCATACAGAAGGCTCGATTAGCATTTGCCAACGTGAGACATCTGTAGCACCGTCGCGATATTTGGCTGTCTGTGAAGGGTCCAGTCTAGGCCGCGGCAATTCGGCCAGTACTGCGATACGGCGCAGAGACTTGGCCATTAAAAAAACAGGATAAAGATAGACTGTCGGTATTCGAAAACCGCTGTCTACACAGCATTGCACAAATCTGGTGGGGCAACCGGACGAACAATACTGAGGTCATTCGCAGAGGTCTAGGTAACCGCGGTCGCCCACTGGAGCAAATGTTCGACCTCCGTAGATTACGTTGGTTGGGGCATGTATTACGCATGTCACCAGATAGGTTGCCACGGCGAGCGATGTTCGTCGAGGCAGATAGTTGGTAGAAGAAAGTCAAGCGTGGTCAAGCTAAGACCTGGCATGAGGTTATGAAAACCCTTACCAGGAGTCTGGGTCACATAAGTCCTGTTAAGCTCCCCGGATGGGGACCTCGGGATCAGCGTAATCAATGGTTAGAGACACTGAGTGGTATGCCTGAGCGTCGTAAACAGCGGCGTTCATGCGTCTTCTCAATTTCTTTGCAACATAAGTTCTCGGAAATTCTCAATTTTCTCTTCCATTACACTTTCAACCTTCCTGTCTTTCTCGTACTGCTCATCCAAATGGGCAGCTAAAAGATAGCAAACAAAACCAGCGCACGATAGTGCGGCAGCCAGACGTTAGAATAGAGACCGCGGTTTGTTTTAGATTGACCACGACAGACGGCACATAAAATTGCCACAGCAACCACTGTGACATCCGAAATGTTGTGTTCAAACTGTTGGGCTAAGCGCGTGCGCGCACATATATGTATACAGTATCAATTAGTTTATATCAGTCACACCAACTGATGTTTGTGTTCTGGAAAGTGATAGAACCAAGTATAGTAAGGAACAGAACGATATAGCTAATGATTCCGGTAAACAGCAATGGGCATGTTTTGTGGTCATCACAATAACCGTGCTGAAGTTGGCATCTCGTGATTGATTGACCGAATCAATGATTATTAACACTTTGCGGTGTGACGTGAACAGTAGTGATTGCGCACCAAATTATCTTCTATACTTGTTTGCTTCCTATATCTGTTGGTGAATGTGCTCAGAATGTATTTCCCATAAGCGTAAGCTTTCTCGCCAAAGCCGCAGATCCATTCAAAAGTACGACTGTTCCCTTTTAATAAACGTGAACGTGACCCCATTTTGTATATGCGGTGAGACGCTTTACGACTTGCTCGACTGAATCTAATCTGATATTATTCATCATCAACACACCACAGTCTAATTCCAGAGGAGTAGCTTACCAAAGACTATCACGGAGGGATAAAAATCAACTAACTCGTCGATCTTTTTCCACATTCAGTCTGATAATCAAACGTGCCCGTTGAAGACTCTTGGGAAGCACATCTGATCTTGGGACAGAACCAAATCAAGTGTGTATTCTACACCATTGAGGTCTAAGCCTAGTCTTCGAAACCAAATTCTTGCAACTGATCATAACACTATGGAGGGAGGTAAATGCAGAAAGACGATTTGGTCAAGAACCACCAGGAATCTATTCCTCAATTCAGCTCAGTGTACCGTCTGGTTGATGTGTAGACGGGAAGAATAGAAAGCACTGAAAGAGGTGATGTTTGTTCACAAGGACTTCGATCGGGAAGGGCAAGTAATGAGACAAAAGAGAAGAAAGCAGACAGCCTTGACGGAATGGCTAGTCTAGACTGGACTGAGATACAACCAAAAACAGTGGTTGACCGATTGAAGTCGAGAATCACCTCAAATCAGATCAATGAGAAACCTCAACAACAGTGGCGCAGCAGATTACTTAACAAGTGGCGCGTTGACTGGCGGATTGAGGTATTTCGGGGGACGAAAGAAGCATCAGTGATAGAAGAAACAGAAAATAGGCAGAGAAAGAGATAAAACTAATTGGAATTGTATGTATATGAGAGAGGACAGAAATTGTGGAAAGACGAAACGGAAAAGATGCAGGCAAAGGTCAGCAGAAGATTGATATCTGGAATCCAAACAGGTGAGGATGGAAATAGCTGACCCGATTGAATTGGCACTCGGAATAGAGAGTGACACATTGTGTCGCGTCCGGGGTTTACGGTGGATAATAATGACCGAGAGAGAGGGGAGGGTGGGGATCGGAAGTCACCACGATAACAATTCGTCGTTTTGACCGTGGATTGAACCAAGGGACGAAAGGTATTGGGTATTGCAGGATAGGTCGACTTTGGAACAGGTCTCTCGATACATGGTATTCAACAGCAGAGGCAGGCGAAATTCGCAAAGAAACCCCGAGCGTAGACAATTCAGTCAATGGCGACAGAATCAGGGGATGATGGCATAAATCAACCCGGTTCATTAAGCTTCGAGGCTTCCACCAAGCTGAGGAATGTGAGGCGATGTCGACGAACCGACACCTGAAATCCTTTGGAAACTGGGGCTAGAGGAAATTCCGGTAAAATGTTTTGCTTAGTTTGCAACGCAGCTGAATCTGAATTGGATGACGGTTGTAGATTTTGAAGACGATTGAATTCGTCCTCATCAAGACTAGACCAAAACTCCAAAAGTTCCCCATACCTATAAAAGAATAAAGGAAAATGTCAAATAGTCGGACTTGGTGAAACATAAAAACAGCGAGACTACTGGGTAAACAATCATAATTGCGGGATAACACCAGATGTTCTGTTGAATTCACCAACAAAGACGATGGTTTACTTACGAGTGTGCATTTGTGATACAATGCTGGATAATTTCTTTACGGAACACGGGTTCAGGATTTTGTAACAGCTGGACCATAGATTGGACGAGAGTAGCTACCACGGATTCGTTGTACATACGACTGCGCTCGTGGGATTCGGGATTTCCACGACATGCCTCGAATCCGGCCTCATTGAAGTAGGGCTCGGAATTTAAAATCAATCCTATCGCGAAAACAAGAGGGAGCAGCAATATTCCGTCAATAGTACAAAACAGATTGACTTAGTAAAGACAGAATTGGTTGAAAGGTGCGACAGAAAAACAGCAACAGTTCGTGAAGAAAATGAGATTGTTATCACGGCATTAAAGTTAACCCATTTAACCCCATACTACATTATCAATACTACGACCCCGAACGGGTCAACTCCATCAAAAGGTTATTACGTACAAAGCCCAAAAACTTTGGATTCACAGCATTGCTCGACACGAGATTTTCCAAGCTGCTGGAGTCAACTAAAGAAAATCAGGCAGTTGAGTGGGAAAACACGATTGATAATGTGTATCTCTAGACTATAAGACTGTGTGCAGTACACAATAAACATTTTGTAATGAAGGGAATGACATCAAACTATCGGCACACGGATAAAGACCACGCGGTTACCAGGTCAGTTCAGGTTTTTGTAAATCACATAAACTGAAAAACGCAATCTTCTGTGGGATAAAACATAGCAATTGTACTAAGAAGAAGAGGATGTTAGAGGAACGATCCGAAGAAAAGGGAGAAAATTTAGTGTGGCTCTGGGCGCAGATTCAGTGAGTTAAATGAGTCTATACGAACCAGTATAACGGGAACTTATTTCGCCGACAGTAGTTTACAAGATTTTTCTACCAGCCAAAGCCTGTTCGCTTTCACTTTTTGCGACCTGTCAGGAAAGTTCACCTGGAAACACAAAACACATGTTCGGACTGATGGAGTTTGTGGAGGGAAACATCTGATTAAGTGTCCGTGCACGATGGGTAAAATCAACAAGGCTGATCCGGTTATCCCAACAGATAAGAGCAAGGATGGGAACGTATAGATGCCCAAACTGAGACAATGCTACGACAGTTTCTGTAGGCAGCAACTAGGTCTGATAACCATGAGATGAGACTGCAGACAGAACACTAGAATTAAGAAAGATAAACCGATGGCACGTCTATGTTGGGGACAACACGGATCGATTATTGACCGTTACTCCTAATAAACGATGGAGAATCACGTTGGCCGGCCGGTTCATGAGTTAGTGCATAAATGTAAACCACGAGACGAAATTATTCATTTCAGAGAAACGAATTTCGGCCTTAGAAACTACGCCGTTCGGAAAAACTGCCTACAAGAAAGTGACATTATCAATTATCGGACAGAATAAAACCATTTTGATAGATGAAAGAGAAAGATGTTATTGCAAATAATTAGTCGCGTACGTTTACAATATGCGACATATCTCCCGGTTATTTTGTACGAAACTGGGTCAAATGATGAAACTTAGCGAGGAACGTGCACGTCTACATCGACGTGGCGAAAGCTGCATAGTGTATGTGGAACATGTGTGTGTGAGTGGGTGGGTGGGGTGGCAATTCTGACCTAGAGTGCGTGCCTGTGCCAATGATGTAGACGCGAACACGCACGTTTGCTTACATCTACAAAACGGAAGACCAATAGGGACGGGGACAGGAAGGAGTGTGACGTGACCGGAATAATTCATTCCATCAAATCGAATTAACAAAACAAACCTTGAAGTGAAACGACCAATTGCAACAGATTTGAGTTCTCCTCGCTCCAATTCTCCGAATCTTTCCCGGCCCATGTGCCCAACAGTGATAGACAAACGTGGCCCTTCACGTATAGGTTGGGATTGACACGTTCACTGCCAAACGAGTAGTAATGGACCTAGAAAATAGATGGCAGTGTTGCGAACTCTTATGGAGGCATCGGGGTGAGGAAATTACACACGCGGATATGGGAAGACAAACGCCCAAAATTCACTAATTGTTCCTTTCTATCATTAAAAACCTATAAATGTGCTTATTGCATGCAGTCTCAAACGTTGGTAATAGGGAGAATGCATTTATTGTGAAAAAATGAAACAGATCACTTGTACGCACGATACCTTAGCGCTTTAATCAACAAATCCACCTTGTCATCAAATAGCATTGGGTATACGAGGGGGTTCCTGACCATTCAGATACACAGTGGAAACATTGATCCGGCTATAGTATGTCGGAGGATAAAATGTGTAACCCGGAGGTGCAATAACAAGCCAAGTTCTGCCTTACATATAGTACAGTTTTTACAACCATAAACCATGCACTTTCGTGGGCTGGTTCTAGTTGCTGTCCCATGATAGCCCCCTTGGATAAAAGAGCAGAAGGAAAACTGGATTGTTGCGAACAAGTTGAAAAAGAGGATGAAGAGTTCACAAGGACTAAGGTTGTAAGGATAGGGTAGGTGCATGAGCACCGCAGTTTGCAACACTCAGTTACTATGGTCCCGGGATCATCATTCCGGAAGTATAACGCGGCCTGTGTGCGCAAGTCTCCTGGTCAGGTGTAACCTCTGACCAGGTCTGAGTGGGCCTTACATATAATATAATATTTGTAGAACATGGTGCTCATAGTCACCGGAGAAAATGCGTGTTTCACAATGCAACTTCCATGGGTTCAGTGATCAGTGGTTTATTTTTAAAGACAATTCTTTTATTTGTTTGCTACCGTTCAACGTACCTTGAGGTTAGCTCTGTGGTGATCAAATCGTTGTGGATGGGGTCAAACGAAGGAAATACTCCATGCTGTAGTAACTCTAACCACTAGTAGGCACTCTCAATTTGGGCCAGATTATGGATTCCACGATAGCATTGAATGTCAAAATATGAACATTTTGGTTGTATCCTTATGCAGCCTTGGTAAAATCATAATTTTATTTTCAACACTCCGTTTACCGCCATTAAAAACCTCGATTTTCACCATTTTGTCCTATGGAGGTATTAAGTTAAACCCATCGTACGTCGACTAAGGTCGGGAGTTTATGTGTTTCATTCGAGAGCAGACACACAACGCGAAGTATCGTTGTCAAGAAATGTCAGCGATTAAGTGAAAAGTGGATCAAAAGGACCATTGACCGTTCTGGTGATATAGAAATCCCGGCTAAACAACGTACAAAGTAGCGTTTATGCCGATGGGTGTGAAAGTATTATTTATATATATCCGATTCCAATAGATGCACAATTATGTGAGTCAAACTGTTCTGAGACCGAGTGGATGAAAAGTCCAACAATAAGAGACAATTATCAACATCATCAAGGAGATTTTGTGCATCCAAATATTACTGTCGCATTCAGTTTTTGTAAAATCATCACAATCCTAAAGCTTCGAAACAATGTGTAGGCGAACCATTTCCGAATTTACCAACAGCGCAGACGGAAGGGCTTGGGAGACAAGAGATAGTTGGAGCAGTATGCTTTTGGTGTGTATGAGGGATAAGAATCAATATGGCCATAGAAAGACAAAAACTTGGTTTAACTAATAACTTGGAAATTAAATTTAAACAGGTTCCCTCCATAATCTGCTATTCGTTTCGTTTCTTGGTTAAAAATACCCCGAGAAGAGGCAACTGATGGCATCTCCTGTGAAGTTTGGAGTGAAACTG